TCACTATCTCCCTAAATTCTATTAATAAATAATCAAGGATAGGAAGCTAACAGGGGAATGTATGACCATTCCCTGAGATAGTCCCACTTTAGAAAAGAGTGTTACTTAGCACCTGCTCCCCCCTCCCCCCTTCCATTCAATCTGCTGCTGAGAGCTCCAGGACAGCAGTCTTAACTCTAGTAGACTCAACTATACATTTTCCTTTTGACTTGGTAGAGATTCCTCACATTGCAGTGACTTCAGGGCATGTGACCTGCTAATAGCTCTCCCCAACCCCCATTCTTCTCAAAAAGAATAAACACTTTTCCACTTCCCTGCCCACCCCCCACCCACCACTATGAAGGCAATAAATGAATACTCCATATTCTACCACTAAAAGTTTGACAACCACACATTAGAATGATTATGCAGTACAAGAATGTTGAGGAATATTACATTATTTCACTATATATGGGCTATATAAATTGTGAATTGCTTTGATTTAAAAAAAAATCAGGCTTACTTAAGCCATTTATGTAGTTTCTGTTCAAAAGTATACTATGAGCTATACCTTTGATTTATTCTGACAGTGACTGCTTTAGAATATGCTGACTGAATGCACAATTTTTAAGCTGAACACTGTTTCAATAAGTCATGCTTCAAAATAAAACAAAGGACAAGATCATTTGCAAAATATACGAATGTTTTTATAATTCTCCCAGGAGCTGCTGTGCCACCTGTCCTTATAACCAAATCAACAATGTCAAATATGCCAACAAGCTTAGCTACTGAACTGGTTCAAAAAAAATGCTATGTGTGTGTATGTGTGCATTTGTGTTGTGATACTGAGTTTGTAAGTATGCTTGCAATCACATATTCAAAACCAGAAATCTTTACTATAAGGCTCTAGGTAAAAATTTTGCAATGTAAGAACTGCATCGTTAAGGCAAAAATTAATCTAGGATCTGGAGTTCTTTTTCTCATCGGACCTTTGCTGTTTATCATCTAAACTTTTTCTTTAAACTTCTCTATTAATAGAGATTAGTTAAAAGCAAGTTGTTTTTCTTAATTTAAATTTTTGTTTCAACACTTTGGCTGAGTTAGCATTTTGATAATTATATATTTATTAAAGAAAGTTACAATTTCATGTTTATAATACAGTATATAATCTATAACTTATACTTAGTGTATCACATTACACTTGGTAAACAATACAGCATTATTTACCAATTAAATTTATTTAGAAGTAAATCCCATTCTTGAAATAAAACTTCACCTGTTAGTAATGGCTTAAGAAAATATTTTCTTTTCCTTTAGCTAATTACATTTCCTTAGTAGCAGTTTTATAAATAGAGTAAGACACTCTAGGGACAATATTGAGCTTTCTGGTTGTTGAAATAATTCATCCTTTGGACTTGTGAGCTACAAAGCACCCGAAGCTTAACAAATCCCATCATAGCACAGAGTCTTCACATTTCTGCCCTCCCAATACAGCTAAAGAGTTCAATATTGATGAGCAAGCAACAGTTGACATCATAGTCCATGGAATACAGTACTGCCATTAAGCACATGCTGATATTACATAAAGAATTCAAACTTATTTTTAACTTGAAAGCAGTTGGGGTGAGTATTTTTAGTTTGAGACCCAAAATGTTCTTAACACTGTCTTGAATAAATTTGTTGTAAAATGGATACGTAGTCTAGTAATTCTCAGTGGGCTTCCGCATTGGTTTAAAAGGTGAGTATACAGTCTCTGCCTAGTTAAACTACAGTTTACATGGCAAGAGTGCCAATAAGTATGTTAAATCAGACATTCCTGGAGGCTGTCTGGCCAATAGGAGTGATTTGAAATGGTTCCCTAACCACTGTTGAAATCACCGATAGTACTGTCTGTCCACACTATGACAGACAAAAGCTGAAATATATTAAACATAGCAATCCATCATCCTGCAGATGGGAAGCAGGAGCCAGCCGAGTTCAGAGGCAGTGACTACCCGCTGCTTAACAAAGGCTGGAGTCCTGACAGTTCAGTCCCTTCCTAGCTCCTCACCACCACCTCTCCATCTAAGATGAATGAGTGTAACCAATGAGGGAGAAAGCCTGCTGAGGACCTCAACTTCAAACACTGTTACATTTAAAATGCTGCTTTGTTTTTTCCTAATCAGAACTGTTGCTTGAACAGTTTTCTCTAAATATAAGATGATAGCTATTTACATCAGTGAATAAAACAGAAAAAAAAAAAAAAGAAATACAGATTCAAGAAAGCTTATCCTTAGAAAACACTGCATTGGTATACTATTAAGTTTGGAGAGCTAGCTTTGAAATAGAGCTATAATATCAACTCGGAGGAAGTTAGGTCACCATTAAGGATAAGTTTACATTGTTTGAAGCAACGTAATAGTAATGTTCTCTTTGAATGACTGAGGGATTACTACTTATTTTTAAATAAGCACCAAACAGAAATGAAATGCTATCTGTTAAAATTCAATTCATTTTGCATACTTGTTTCTAATAGGGACATAAAAGTCACAAAATAGCCAAGAGGAAATAAATAAACCTCAACTGCTAACAGCACATTAACAAAGTATAGAAACGAAAGACACTTTTCTTTGGATTTCAGCCTTGTCATTTCCAATTTTCTGCTCCTTGGACATGCTTGTATTCAAATTCTGGAACATCTATTCGGCATATCAATCCTAATTAGACAAACTGGGTCTAGAAAGGATGAGAGCTGGGTCATTTGCATAATTTAATCATAAATACTCAGTGATACATATTTCCAAATGCATTTGTACAATTATCTTTTCATCCTTGGGGCAATGGTATTAATATGATTAGGCAATATTTCTGGAAAAAACAGACAAGTATGCACTCTTTTTAACTGCAGCTTAGGGCGATATGAAAAATTAATTAATTTCTGAAGAAAATCAATTTCTCTACGTGACCACATTAGACATTGCTAAACCAAGACTCAGAAACCTCTCTCAATCAGAACGTTTTATCAGGCACTTCTAAATTCTGATTAGTATATGAACAATTCAATAGAAAAACTGGTAATGTATCAAAGAGCACCTTAAATTTCGAAGAGATCTTTCTGCCTACTTTCTTTTTCTGATATACCACTCTGCTCTACTTTAATTCATTGTTATTTAACCAGTCAATGAGAAGCCTGTGCTTTTGGTGTGAACTCATCTTGAGTGATCTTTTATTAATGTACATTAACCAATTTCAAGGACAATAGGATAAGGTTACTTTTGAAATCCTTTCTCAAGACATGGATTTATATTAATCTAAAATAATCTTAATTCACATGAGGCTTTTTATTTATGAAAAAAAAAATAGATAAACCAAGTAGTTCTAAAGAGTATCACTGTCATCAGAAAAACAAAGTAGCATACTTAATAGAGATATAAGAACCCAGGTGGCTAATCTGATTTTTTAAAAAGAGATTCTGCTTTGTATGTTAATTAGTACAAAAGAAAGAAGTCACATTTGTGAGTTTAAATGCACTATTCTTTTCTTTTCAATCAAATGAAAAATTAGAAATTACTGCATGCAAAATATTCAATATTCATTTAATTTGCATAAAGGTGCTTGAACAAATTTTTGATTCTAACAAGCTCATTTTTCATGCGTTTTTTCTTTCATCCTAATCTAGCATCTGTCATTCCTTTTTGAAGTTATTATCGGCCCAATTCCCTTTTGGACATGGTTGCTGGGTGACCGGTATCTTAGCACCCACTCTGACAGGAACAGATGTGAATCTGATCAAGAGATTTCCCAAGAGTACCTGAAATCACAAACAACTTTTGTGAAAAACAAACAGCATCCCTGTCATGGGCCCTTATTTAACCCACTCCCCCAAAGAAAGAGCAAGGAAGTTTACTCTGGATCAAATACACCATTTTAATTTTTTTCCCTAAATTTAGAATAAAAACAATTTAAAAAACTTAAATATTTTGACACTGCTGAATTTGAGGAATCCAGTTTACATACTGACAGCTCCAAAACCCAGAGTTTGTTCTTGTTTTGCTAAGATTTTGATAGGTAAATTTCATGGAAAAGTGTTTATACGTCCTGACAAATTTCACTAGTTTATTTTAAAAAAGGACATTATTGTGAAGATAATTTAGATAACAAGACTGTTAAGAAGATAAAATTTAGTTTGGTGTCTGAAGGATTCCTATTTTGACTATCAAGTGGAATTCTATGCAATATTAGGGGATTACTCTTATAGAGAAATACCTACAGTATAATGTTCCATCTTGTACTGTCATGCATTTTAGAGCAAGATTTTTTAATGTGACTTTTTTTTTCCAATTCACATGGTATACCATCAATCATTACTAGAAACAGAGCTGCAAAGTGCCACTGGAAGACAAAAAAAGGTCAAAGAAACTTCATAATATCACCATTACAAAAGTTAGAATAGGTTGCCTTTCCTGAACTAAATTTTGTTTAAAGACCTGCATAATGCAATTGAGTCATCTGGTCTATCTCCTTTGCTTTCTTCTGTCATCTTTAGAGAAAGGGGAAGCAGTGGCCTTGTTAAACCTCTATGAAACTTGTTGGAGTAAGCCTTTCAATTAAATAAATACTTAATCAAATATTGATAGTCTGTAAATATGGCATCAAAGTATTATTAGGAAACATCCAAATAAATGATATAATTTTTCAGTTTCATTCAAATGATTAGTGTCAATGAAACGCAGGAAAGTTATTACCTTACAATGAAAGTAAGTTTTTTTTTTTAACCACAATAACAGCCAATAAAAAGAATAAAGCAACATATAATTAAACGTCCAAGTAGTTTCTCCTTGATGATTATGACTTATGATAAAAAAGTGGTAAACCTTCCATTAGAAATTTTAGTGTTTTTCCTGTACTCCAAGAATTTGATTTAATATGACCATTCTTATTAGTATTTTGTATGTTTGGTTATGGCAGGAAAATAATCAATAATAGCTTATCCAAATAACTTTTTCTAATGTTAAATAAAAAAGAAGTGAAAAGTCTCTGAAATTGTTTTTTTTTTTTTTAAATTGGGAAAGGAATTTATTAACCTTATTTCCAAAATCCAATCATGGAATTACTTAACTGTCATAATTGTAATAGCAGATATTTTGGGATGTATATATATATTTATATGTGTGTGTATGTTGCTTTCCCATTTATTATGTATTTTCATGAATGTAAGATTGAGCTGTATGGAGAGGTACGTCCTCATTCTGTCATCTAATGGTGATACATATAACACTGTCAGGTAGAAGCAAAGAGATACTATGCCCCTGAGTACTGTATATCAGTTACGCATTTGGGTATATATAATACAGCATTTTTATATTCAAGAAATTAAGCAAACTACTACATACCTAAATTCCTCTTTATTCTGAACATACTATTAACTTGTTTTCCAACTTAGTCCCATTCCACATGACAACAAGTGAATCCAACTAAAATAAAAATTATTTTTATGCGTTAAATTTATCACCTTCATTTGTTAGTATTAGTGGCAAGAGGAGTCTTCTCGAAACTGCTCTGGATGATTTAAATAAAAACAAAATAAGTTATATAATCATTTAAAATGTGAGTCTAAGAAAAATTAAATATGTTCATGTAAAAAAAAAAGTCCTTATTCTGAAATTTCATCTTAAGGAAAAATTGTAAAAATAAATTTCTTTCTGTAATTGGGTTGATCCATTAGTGAAGAAAAATTAATTTTTTAAAAAAGTACAAAATGAATGTTTTCAAATCCAATTAAATAAATTCATGTTTAAAGTCCTTAAATCTAGGATGCAAGGGCCTGTCTACAGAAAATAGTGCCTATAGCAATTAGTTTTAAATTGCTGAATGATCTCTCACAGCTGGCGATGGAAACTTCGATGGCAAATGGAAACTGCTCATTAGCGCCCCTCGTCAAGCAGCGCCCAGGGTGTGCAACCTACCTGCCATACCTTAGTTATGCCTCTGCTAGGATGTATGTTTAGTATGGAGATAATTTTTAAAATTGACATCTTAATAACATGAGAAAACATGAATAGTTGCAAAATTTTAATGGCACTTTGACTTAACTGTGAAATGACATTGATGAATAACATCAAGGAAAAAATTCCTAAGAATATCTCTTACTAAATTTGGTAGCCAAACAGGTGTTAACAGAAAGAAAAACCAGATTTGACCCAGAAGGCTCTAATATGAAGGTTTGAATTGGGATCAGTTAATTCCTTTCCCATGGGGTAACTTGTATAAATGTAATTCTATGGTTTCATAAAAGCAGGTCAAGTTTCTATCCCTGGGGGTCTTCTGGCAATTTGAAGCATGGAAGCACTGTTCCTGGCTACAAGTTCAAATCTGCATGTGCTGTCAGTGGTGTGAAGGAAAAAAAAAAATCAGGGAACAGCAGACATATATTCATCTGTGATTATAATGCACACTTGTCATAGGGTTCTTAGCAGGATAAAAATAAAGGTGTCAGAGCTTGCAAGTCATAAAAATATTTTGAAATAATTTTTACCTACATATACTCTTTTCCATTTTAAAATATATGCAGATCAAATGATGCAAAAAGTAGTGTTGCACGTTTATTTTTATTTAGATAACTAAATGCAAAGAAGAACCTCTTAACAAATGTCATTTTATATTTATTACATAAAGATTTTTTTTAATTCCATAAGATTTAGATGAGGCAGAAAGTTTCAAGTAGACACTGTTTTATAAGCTTCCTTCTACTTTGCAAAAAATGCAAGCATGCTTGCACTTTTACCGATGACGTAATGACTTGACAAATGCCACGGAGTGATTGAGAAAGTAATTGACTTCAATTTAACTGGACATCTACCAGGTGTTTTCAAAGACAATTACAGCCCACTGGAAGAAGTAGTAATACACATCTCCTTATGTAGACCTGCATATTAACCCACTGACCTCATTCCTAACTCATCTCATTGATGGCAAGGCTTTTAGAAGAGCTATCTTTTTTTTTTTTAAGGTTATAAAATTGTTTTCCTATCATTTTATCCACTGATTTTAAATGATATGCTTGTTCTAAAGTGCAAGAAGCAATGAAATAAACCAATAAAAGAAATGGAACAATGACATCAAGCACATCAAGCACTATTCAATAATTTAGAGGTTCTAGTACCTAATAGTTTAATATTTCTTACATATAAAACAGTTTCATATATGTAAAAAAAATTGCATAGAAAATTAAAAGCACATTTTAGTTATCATGAAAAGAAAGGACTGGGAAAATCAAGTTCTTAATCTCTCTTCTAATAACCCTATAACATCATGCATTATAATTATATTTTAAAATATTTAAGATTAAATTACTTCTTTTACCCTAATATTAATTTTAATGTTTTTTCTCTTGTCATTCAGTAAAGTATAAACTGTTTTTCATGAGTTATTCTGTTTCTATGAATTACAAGAAGCAAGATTAAAGCCAATTTGGTAAGTTTTTTGTCCTATGGCCCTATGTCCTACAGGCCTGTGTGTGTGTGTGTGTGTGTGTGTGTGTGTGTGTGTGAGCACACATGTATGTGCATATATATATGTATATACGTGTGTGTGAGAGAATGTGTATAGGCTTTTCTACTGAAAGTAATATAATTATTTAAAGCATCAATATATAGACAAAAATGGGCTAAGGTTAACAGATATAAAAAATATCCCCCATCCCCCACAGATAGCTCTAAAATCCTGGTAAAAATTTTACACTTGTTGCACACGCTAGAACATTCATTCTAGAATGAAAGGTGAGTGATAATATGTCTATTACTAATGTTCCAAGTTATTCTTTTAAAATCCAAAGGCACTATTTCAGTTAGATTCTTTAATTTTTGAATAGCCTAATTTAAGAAATAAGTATTTCTAAGAATTAAAGAAAAATCAGTGATTTCAAATATAAAATGGGAGTTAATAGTGTTGAATGTATCAGCACATTTTAGCCAAACTGTGATGAAGTTCTAAAATTTGTTATACCTGCATTGATTGACCTTGTTTATATTACAAACAAAATATTTTTAAAATACGCTCCATTAGAAATCAAATATATGAGTAACAAATACTGTTGCTATGATTAAAATTCCAGGATGCAATCAGATTAAGATTTTAACAAAATACTTCATCCACCTGACTACTGAGTATTACGAAGTATTTCTTGAATAAAGTATTTTATTTATCTTCATCACCTTTCCTTAAGAAATGACCAGTAGCTCTTAAGTTGAATTAGCAATCATTTACTACAAATGCTTCCACATGCTCCTATAAAATAGCTTCCTTTCAACCAGTATACTCTTTTTCCTAAGATATACTTTGTCCTTGAGGAGAAGTAAAGTAATTCTTCCTGCTGTGACTGGGACGGTAATCTAACTATTTAGAAACATTTGATACTATATAAATTCAAAGATAAGTTACTTTATGACCTTTTAACACTTTATGTTTATCTCCCCATTTGTTTATAATAAGGAAACGAAAACATTCTTTAAATATTCAGTGTTACTAAGCAAAAGTAACCAATATAATATGGCGCTTATTTCAGTATTTGCTTTATGAAAATCATGCTCTAAAAGTGTATCTAATTTTTGTCAAAAAATATATGCTATCTTCATAATTCACTGCCACAATTCCTATAATTCTACTTATAGCTCAATTACATTTATATTCTTCAAATCATAGTAAACAGTTTTGACTTCCTACCAGAACCCTATAATGAATTCATCTTTTAAAATACTATGCTTTAGATATTTAATTAAGGTCCTTTTTTAATCATTACTCTCCGTAACTGTTTAAAAAGCAACTGGTTATCCAGTGTGTAGCTGTACTGCAGTTCTAGACACTTCAATATATTTAAAACCTATAACATATACATACATAGACACACATATATATATATAAGACCAATTAAATAATGCCTTAGAGTGAGTTTTCTAGTTTAATAAATTGTCTTTGACAACTTTCCCTCATGTCACGTACATTTAAGGTGCAGAAGAATCCCAGCTTGACATCCTGGATCAACACCAAGCCAATTTGGATCAGAAAGCAACAGGGCCACACCTCTGGCAAAATGCAATCATTGGATAACTCAGTATACAATTTGGAAAAATCTAAAAATATATATATTTTAAATGGGTAAGTTAAAATCCTCCTAAAAACATGTCAGAATACACCAAAATATTTAAAATGTACCTGGTTCGAGGTCCTCAATTTGAACCAAGTGGTGATTTGGGTCATTCTCTATATATGATTTGACTTTTTTTTTTTAATTAGACATTTATCTGCTATTTTATTCTACTAATTTTAATACCTTTATTAAGTTGAAAAACAATGTGTTTTCACTGGTTTATTGTCTAATTGACTAACTCATACTGGGTTGAAAATTCTGTTCATAGTCAGTTGCACATTCAAGCATAGTCATGCACTGTCTACAATGAGCAGCAAGAAACACTCTTCAAAAAACTCTTACGTACTTCTTAAAGCAAATAGCACTGCTGCATAAAAATAAAGTGACTGTCAGTTAATCCAAATACGAATTGCTAGACCAAATATAAACATCTTATCCTTGGTATTCTTGTTTCAGAAAGAAATAATTTGGTGAAGTAACTGTTCTAATAAGTCACTCCTGTTCTGTGATGTACGCTAGAAAGCAAATTTCAGCTACAAAAACTTATTTAAAAAGACAGCTACTGTAGCAAAAAAAAAAAACAAAAACTTTCTACAAGAAATATTTCTGGCAAGTTGAGGAAAAGGAAAGGAATGTGAGAACGAAGTAGGCTCACTGAGAGCCTCTGCTGTGCCTCAGATATACATCTGTGCAGATCAGAGCCTTTAATATTATGTTTATCTAAGCTCCATAAAGCAGATTTTTAATTCAGTGTTTTCTTCTTTAGGAAAATTAATTACTGAGAAAACAAAATACAGTGGAAAAGGGGCTTCTTAATGTAGTCTCAAAGTCTGAAAATATAAATAGAAGTTTGTTCCCAGCTAAAATATTTAAGCTGCAGCATTTAGACAATACACACACACACACACACACACACAAAACTATAACTGACCAATCATAATGCATTACCTTAGTTAAGAGAATGACACAAGCTAAGTCATTCTATTTTTATAACTATTTCAACATAAAATGATAAAACACTATTTTAATTTCATTTGTAAATACCCAAATAGTTAAGATCAATTTTTACATTTCCTGTCATTTTAAAGGTACATAACTTGATGTTTTTTTTTTGTGAATAATCTGACAAAGAAATCCTTGAAAGATAAAATTCAGATAAAGTTTAACTTTTTAAAAGAACCAAGTAACAAAAACCTTAAAATCTACATGTTTAATAAACTCTGAAAGACTCACCTGTACCTATTTAGAAGGCATACTGTAAACTAATTTCTCCAGACAAGGATTCAAAGGAAGACAGTTTACAACATGGGAGAGTTGCATTTCGTATTATATTTTGCAATACTTGTGTTCTATGTTGCTAATACAATTTAAATGATTATTTTACTTGATTGACAAAGGCAATTGTATGAAACAATTTAGTAGAGTAACTTGGAAAGACAAAATAATACTAATTGAGAGTCAAAGCACAAATTGTTCTTAAATAACAACTACTGGGTTAAACATTAAGCTAATTTACAAACGCTACTTACATCCAAAAACAAAACATCAAATGAGAAACGATAAAGCATACTGTGTTTTCTTGTGCTGGTGAATCACACATAGTAAATCGCCAAAGAGAAGAGTGATTTATGTTCAAATCCAGCCAAGACTTTAATCAATATTGGGTGTCACATCTCAGGGTGCTGGGGGAGGTAGTGAGGAAACAAGAGGGTGGCTAATATTTGTTTCAGTAAATTACACGCAATTTCCGTGAAATTCAATGCAGTAAACAAAAAATAACAGCTGATTTGGACTAATAAAGATTTGAAAATTCCGTTCCAAAAGCTAAAACATAGAATTGTGTGTAAGGGAATTCTGGAAAAATTGCCTGTCTTGTAGCTTCTTCTATATAATATTTGAAGCCGCACAAAGTAAAATATCATATCCGTGAATCCAATTGCGTGCTTCAGAGCATTAACTAATAATCTAGGGAGGTCAGAAAGTAAACCATCTTCTATGTACACTGTTTTACAATAATGGCTAAGATATTATTGGAAACTAACTCCAAGAAAAACAACAGGTTTGAAAGACATCCAAATAACTCAAGAGTTTGCATTCTGCAATATAATGTCATTGAACAAGGCAAATCCTAGGTTAAGATATTCTTAGATTTTATTCATATATTAATTAAACTATAATTTGCTAACAATTTAAAAACATAGAAATAAGCAGTGGAACTAAACTTGTACTTTAAGCTTTACTCTTCTAATTATGATATATTCTTTCTTGAAGTTATAAAAGGAAACATTAGGCTTTATAAGAAACATTAATCTACTATAATACAAAAACTTCAGAAGCATAGCCCCTCTTCATTTGAAGTAATTATTGAATTTCTCTGTAAGAAGCATGTAATTAAGTGTTAAAAGTGAATCTGCATTCATTTTCAAACTTTCTGTATCTATGCCATTAAAAAGCATGCAGTGGAGGAAATGTTAAATAAATATAGACTGGTTCAGCATGCCATCTTATTAAAATTAATGAAAAACAAAAACCCTGATAAATAAGTAGAACCAAGAGTTGGAAAATATTTTGCACGTCTTGTCCTAAAGTTTCATTCATATGCATCTACAGAACATTGAAGGCTTGGGAAGTCTTTCAATTTGCTGTCAACAGATGGTATCTTTTAAGACAAAAGAGTATTTTCTGTGAATATATGTATGTACATAAGTCTAATAAAACTAACCGAAATCTATTTAAGTTAATATGCCACAAATCTAAAACTACATAAGGCCCAAGTCACAATCTGCTTTGAAAGATCCTGAAGCAGAAATAATATCCCAGCAGTATTCAAAGAAATAAGAATTTTAGATAAAACAATAGGACAGAGTCACTCTTTATTACCTGAGTTCACGGAAAATTGAATCCTAACTCAAACCTACAAACAATTGATTTATGCAAACAGAGACTTGACCATGTACATAATTACTTTTCTTATTTTTGTCGTTGTTTAAGGATTACCAGTTAATTAACTGACCTCTATTGCAACAGCCAAGTTCATGCAACTAACGTTCAGTTCGAAAAATAATAATTGGAGGAAACTGATCAAGGTTAGACTTTGTCCTTTGAAAACTTTCAAATACATTTCCTTACAATTTCTTCCATGTTTTGATACCCTTACTTTTAGCTTTACTAGGTAGCAGGTGATATTCTCTTTCCCATCTCTTTGTGGTAATGACAGATGGTTTCAGCATTTATCCTAGTTTTCATAGTTAGCATATTGATGCAATAGCCCTAAGCAAATTAATTCCACTCTAAGGTTTGCTACTAACTGAGTCACTTTAAGCAAGTTTATGAACCTTTCTTTTCTTTAGCATAATTTTTGTTCCTCAGATTCCCTGGTATCTAGAAAAACGTCTGGTAAATGCAGTTGTGAGACAGAACTAGATATGTTTTGGAAAAAAACTACTTATGCTAAGATTTAATGTTTCTTGTGCACCACATATTATTTTACGTGGTTTGCCTTTTTGCACAGTTTCTCTTATCCACTGCATAAATTATTCCCTTTGATAGTCTCTTAAGAAGCCAGAGGAGAAAGAACAAGAGTGAAAGAAATCAATATATCTAGATGAATAAAAAAGGATCTTGATACCAAAGGCATAAACTGGACTTGAATGACAAAAGTAACTTCAGTTTCATAAGTTTAAGATGCAAAACATTTTAATTTATTGCTTTCACTGTTAGAAAATAAGACAATACTTGTAATTGACATTAAAACAGAAAAGTCTCTTACGATGCAAACAACATACTTTCCGTTATAAGTCTTCTATTTCTTAGATCAGTGGCACAGCTAGGAAAACCTAGGTAGATATCTGCAACTATACATCTTCTAAGGTTACTAACTACAATATCTGCATATTTTTAAGTTTGAGTAAGTTGGGTAGTCCTAAAAGATCACTCTGCCATAGTAAATCAATAAATTTACCATATTTAAACTTAAAAAATAATCTAAAATAGACTTTTAAAACAACACATTTAATTGCAAAATATTAAGACCAGGTGATTGAAATACAATTAGTGTAGTGATGAGATATGAGTTGTTTTTGAAGGGTAAACTGTTCTACTGGTTTTAACTTGTCCTGGTTCTGTACATTTAAACTCGAGAGCTATTGTTACTCTCAGATTTTAAAAAACCTTACATTAAAAAAAATTAGTTAATAACTTTAGAAGTATTCTACAAGCACGTGGAGAGGACTTAAATTCCAAAGTCTTGGTACAAAATTTCAGGGGGGAAAAAAGATGAAGAGAATAACTGTAAGAGGTGTAACGCTACCTGTTTTACTTTGATCATAACGTTTCAGTCACTGAAGGAAGTTTCTCGAGCAATTTTCTTGCATATATGAAATGGTCATTGATTATTACAGTACCGTGTGTGCTGTAAGAAACACACAAAGAAGATGCAAGGGCAGAGTGAACGTCTGATTACTAAAGAGAAAAATAGTAGCGCTTCACCAATTTACTACATAGGTAGGCAATTTTATAACATCCACATCTGAACTGGCTTTCAAATTTCAACTAGCATCCTTTATATAACAACTCCGTAACAATTTTCTGCCCTGATTCAACTAGTTTTAATAATAGATTTTTGGCAAACATTTTGTCTTCTGGACTTCTAAGTATTCCAATTATCTGAGTAAATGACGTTTAGTAATCAAGATTCCCCACAATCTTCACTACCACCTGTCCATACACCTGGGCACGAGCCCACGTATGTATACACACACACACCCCATTCATACAAAGATAGCAGAAATGCCCCATTTGCGAAGAATGGCAAATAAATATTCGAAGAAGTTCCTGACTAGGTCAGGATGAGGTATTTGCTGGTTTGGGGTTGGCATCTTTTTCGCTTTACAGCCTTCTGAGGGCACTAGCCAAGAGTCTTCTTCCAAGGAAGAAATAGTTCGGGGCTTTTTCACTCGTTTCCTTCTAGTCTCATCCTACCCCTCTTTGCTTCCCATCCCAGATTCCCTAACTCTACCTGGAGCACGCAACCTAAAAATGTAAAACTCAATTGCTTCTTCCGGTCTTTAGACTTTTCATTTGACGCGCACGAAACACCTCGCACAAATTTTGCGCGCAGTTCCGTCGCGCCCGCTTCAGGGCTACAACTTCCCCTACTCGCTTCCTCCCAGCATCTCTGAACTTTTCCCTCTGCGCTTCTCTGCAGCCAACGGTGGGGCAAGACAGAACTCTGAAATGGGGTCAAATGAGCATTTCTACCCCAGAACTGACGAGTTGCCCCACTCCCGCCCCCTCTCGGTAGGTCCTCCCCCACTGAGCGTTCATTAGCATAAAACTAGTCCGGGCCGGGATCCAGTCCCATGGCTTCCCGGGTGCGCGCGCTTGGCCAGGCTAAGGAGGCGACTGCACGGAGGATTCAGGTCTGCAGAGCATCACAGTGCAAAGCTTGCACCTGCTCTTTGGGAGCGCGACTAATCTTAGAAAAAAATAAATAGATAAAACTTCGGAAAGAGAGAAAGCAAGCGAGCGAGCTGTGGTATTCCTTCCTCATATAGGCTTCCAAGAGTCTGGGGCACCCCGTCACATCCCCCTACAGAAGGAACCCTGCTCGTGCCCTCTCATCTGCCCCGGGGCAAATGTACTCCTTTATTTCTTGGGCACACGCACATGGTCACGCTCACACGCGGACACGCGGACACATGCGCGCACACACAGACCCCTCGTCTCGACGGGCTTCCCCTCGGGGCTCCGGGATGAACTCGCTGCGGATCCCCCGGGAGTGCTCTGAGCTCCTTGGCCTCGGGCGCCGTTCCCCTCTCGACCTCGAAGTCCCCTCCCGGCTGCTGTCCCACTCGCTCGGCTTCCTCACAGGCCCCTCCCAGAGCGCGTCGCCCGGCTCCTCGAACCCCGCCTGGCCGGGTCACGACCTCCTCCTGCCCCCGGGACGCCGCTCGGCGCCGACGTCCAGCCTGGCTGGTGCCCCAAGCCTTGCCGCGGAAGCCCGGCCCCAGGGAGCGCACGCTCGGCCAGCAGCGCCAAGAGGGGTCCCCAGACGCCAGCGCGTCCCGGGAGAGGGGCTGTGACTCCCAGAAAAGAGCGGCCCTTCCCCTTTCTACCCCCTTCGCCCCGAGGCTTGGGTTCCCGCATCCCCACAGCAGCCAAGCCTGGCGCCTAGGCCAGCAAGGGGCGGACCGGGCCAGAAGAGCAAGATCTAGGCAGGGTGAGGTGCCAACTTCTGAGGGGGTCGAGCGCGGCTGACGAGCCCCGAAAAGGGGGGAGAGGGCCGCGCTCTCTGGGGTGCGCGGCTCGCGGGCACGCGGAGCGAGCAGCGCCGGGAAGGGAGCGAAGGAAGGGCGAGGAGGCAGGCAGAAAGGGCCCCCAGCTCTTTACCTTGCGTTGGTGCAGTCATTGTAGAGGGTCTCGAAGTCCTTCCTGGAGATGAGTTTGCAGCGGTTCACTCCGGGCTGGATGGCCCCCAGTCCCCTCAGGATGCGAACCTGTTCCACATTGCACACCACCGGCGTGATCTCCAGCCGCTTCAGCTTGGTGTAGACCGTGTGCAAGCCCCCTACCAAGTGCTTCAGGAACAGGTCGAAAGCCTGGGGCAGGCAGATCAGCTCGCAGCCCTCTACCGTGAAGGAAGCCACTTTGGCCCCCCTCAGATCCACCATTTTGCACTCATTATTCTGGGGGGTGTTTTCCACTGGGGACGGGGTCGAGTACACGGGTTTCCCGGGGAGGGGGCCGCAGCTGCTGCTGCTGCTGCTACTGCTGCTGCTACTGCTGCTGCTGCTACTACTGCTGTTGCTGCTACTGCTCCCGGTGCTCGCGTTGATGGGGGTGCTGGAGGCGCCGCCGCCGCCAGCGCTAATGCTGCCGCCACCGCTGCCGCTGGTGCTTG